GCCCTTCCCAGTCTTAATCTGCAGACCAGAGAACCCCTACAGTCAGAAACTATACATCAAATAAATTCTGAGTATGAGTTACAGCCATCACACAACATGGTCACATTGGAATATTTTCACTATTTAATAACAGACAAAGTAGATATTTTATTTTGGAATCAAAGTGCTGTTATGTGGATTTATGGTTTGTAACATTGGCAGTGTTTCTGAATACTTTTTTTTCCAAAGTACATAAATATAAAGTGGTAAAAGTTTTGGTTTTAGCTTATAAATGTAGTTAATAATCCGTTCAAACAATAAAAAATGCTATTTATTAATGGCCAAGAAATGGTTGGGGGGTGGTGGGGGTGGTTTTTCTTTTTACAGGAGAATCATTTCAGTCAACTGGATGAAATGAGTAGACAGTGAATATCACAATGGTTTGAGGGGAGTTCGTGGCACACCAGTTGATCATGTGGAACTTCAGTTATTAATCCATTAAAGTCATTACTGCCTCCAAGTCTTCAAAGGTCACAGTCTTTTTTAAGGATTTCTTTAATGAGGGCAAGAACCATTCCTGTTTTCTCAGAGCAGTGTGTGCAGGGCTGTGCGGTCACTGCCTGGCACGCTGGAGGGTGCTCTGTGCCTGGGACTGGCCGTGCTGAGCAGTGGGTGGGCAGGAACGTGTGAGAGCTCTCGGGCTGCAGGGGAGGAGGATTTGTATTGATCCTCCTGCTCTGACATCCTGGCTTTTATCCTGCTTACAATATAGGCAAACATGTCAGGCAATTAAACATGTGAGGACGTGGTTCTGCTTGATTATTTGACTTCCTGCAACTAATAAGGAGATTTTTGAATGATTTAGTGCTATGCCATTGAATATAAAAGAAGTTTGGAGGCCTGTATGTGCAATGGAGTTAGGTGTGGTAGATTGTTTGTCCTGGCATCCTTATTGAAGCTTCCCTGTAGGCACTATCAGCTGTAATCAGCATTGTTGCCAGAAATAACATTGCAGTGTCAAAACCATGAGTGTTTCAAGGATATAGTCAGAGGACTTGAAGTGTTCACTTGTTTGTTTAACTTTAAATTAATAAGGGCCCACAGGATTATTTTCCTTTCCTGGGTTGTTGTTAAGTCCTGTTATTTTATTTCTTTTTAATTTTCTTTAGAACAGCTTCTGGTGTTCAAATTATGTTGAAAATAACTGCTTACAGGCAGAGTGATGGCCTACAATAAAGAGAGTCCTAGCAGGATTTTTGAAACAAGAAATACCTAAAATATAGTTTAACTGTTTCATCAGTCATTGAATAATGTGTTACCATTCAGTAGCTAAAATTTTTGCAAAGTTATTTTCTGGTTTTGTGTTTGTTTTTGTTTGTTTGTTTGTTTGGGGTTTTTGTTTTTATTTTGTTGGGAGTGGGTGGTTGTGATAATGACTAGAAATGATGAACAAAAGTTTTAAGTTATGCCCAGGCAGTGACCATGAGATGCTACGATAATGATTCTTATCATAAGAGTGAATCTTGATTCTCAGAAAGATACGGGATAGACAAATTGAAATTCCTGGAGGAGTCCAGTTCATCGTGTTATTCACTACCTCCTTCCAGTGAGACTGTGGCTGTGAGAGTAAAGCAAGTTGAAGTCAGCACATACTTGATTTGATTTCTGTGGCACTGATTTCTCCTGCCCTCAGAGGCTGGCTCCTGGGCCCAGGTGCTGGACACTCTTCAGTGAATGGGTGACCCTGAAATCAGAATGAGATAATGTTACTGGGAAGGACCCTTAGCACAAATCTAAAATTAATAACCCCTATGATAAATACTTTAGAGGATCGCCTTATTGAAATCCTCAGTATGTACTTCATGAGGCAGTTAAACCATCAACTGGAACTGTATTTAAAATAAGAATATATTTTCTATTACATTTTTTTACATAGTTTTCCTAAATGAGATGACATACATTCCTTTAAAGAAAACCACTTATGGTTATTTCCAAAAAACAGACACAGAGTGACCAATCCTACACAGGGGCCAGTAGGTTTCCTGAAGAGTTATAATGATGGTATTAATAATCAGATTATTAGAAGTGAAGTAACTGTAAAGCTTGCAGTTCTAATTTGTGCTGCTTACTTACTATGTTTCTGGTTTTGAACCAATTTCAACTCAGCAGTCAGTTTCAGTGGTTTTTAGACAACTTCTATATGCAGGTTTCTGTGCACATTATTCTGCCACATTGCCTGCCTTCCAAATATTACTCATAATTCTTTGCATGTTTTTCCTTAAGAACATGGAAATTAGCACTAAAGCCTTAGATTTAGCTTTAGAAAAGGCTTTTTTCAGTTTAAAGGAATCTTAGGGTGTCACTTTCAATCTCTCCTGTGAAAGTTAAATTTCTTTCTCTTGCTTCCTTTTATGTTCAGAGACTTAAATAATTTATTACTGCAAAGGAATGTGTGGTGAATCCAGTAACCAACAGAGGATGTGGAAAGATTTATTGGGAGAAACATTAGGAGCATTCTGAGCCAGGTGTATTTTATTTCTTTTTGTGAAATGGAAAAAAAATACTTTACACCTCCAGCCAACTTCAGATATGGCTGGAAGCCCATTTGGAAGACAGTGTCTGTAATTGTGAAGTGCTTCTTGAGATAGACTGAACAAAAAGTGATGAAGGGCACAAGGAGATTTGGCATTGCTGAATAGCAAGAGCTGCATTGCTGGATTCTGAAAGCAGCTGCAGCTCTGAGTGGGTGTGCATGAGACTTCCGCTCTCCTTGTGCTTTATCCAGCACTCCATACCCATGGGAAATGAGGCACTGAGTGCCCTGCTGAACCACAGCAGTGAAGTCTGAGTTTGCCTTTGCACCCTTGGCCCATGAGAAAGGGTTCTGAAGGAGCAGGACCTCAGCAGCCTTCTGCACTCCTTGTTTAACTGAAAAGGCGTCACTTGAGCAAGGCACATGTCATGAGCGTTTTTATTCTACCACAGTTTTGTAGAACTCTAATAAAAAATTTTACTACATATTGAAATATATAACATGAATTTGTGAGGAGTGTAATCTTTTGCGAGGTTACAAATTTAATTATTTGATTATATTTATGACAAAATGCTAGGCAAATACAAAAAGCATTTTTTCAAGAATGATAAAAAAATCAGTTATAAACTAGCTGTTTCTAATTCACTCCAGTTACTTCTCTGGCATGTTTAATTTCATTTACATAAGTAAAAAAAGTTAATAAGAGCATTATCGTAGAATCATAGAATAGTTTGGTTTGGAAGGGTCCTTGGAAGGTTAGTTGCCTATTCAAGCCCTGCTCCAGTAAGCAGGGACATCTTCAACTACATCAGGTGGCTCAGAGCCCTGACCAACCTGTCCTTGAATGTCTCAAAGGATGGGGCATCCACCACCTCCCTAAGAAAACTGTTATATTGTTTTACCCGCCCGTCATAAAAACTTTCTTTGCTATATCTAGTCTGAATTGACTCTATTTTAGTTTAAACCATGCCCCTTGTCCTGTCACCACAGACCCTAATGAAATGTCTGACCCCATCTTTCTTGTAGGCCCTCTTTAAGTGCTGAAAGGCTGCAACAAGGTCACCCCAGGGCCATCCCTTCTCTAAACAGAACAACCCCAACCCTTCTTCATAGGATGGGAGGTGCTCCAGCCCTCTCATCATTTTTTGTGACTCTCCACTGGACCTGTTTCCTCACTGAGAATGTTCCAGGGACACCTTTTCCCATTCAGTTTTTTCTTCTTCACCTGCAACTTCTTAGTCTCCAGTTCCCCTCTGTGCTAGCTGAATAGGCAGGTCCCTTCAGCAGTTGCCTTATTTATTAAAGAGCAAGTTTTGATATTGTGTTTTTGTATAAGTTGTGGAAACAATTTCTTATTTGTCCGTTAGTCCAAATTTCTTAAGTGTTCTCTACAAATTCTTCCTTTGTGCAGCATCTTAGAAAAAGAGGTGAAAAGATGTGGAATCAAACTGCTCCATCCTCCTAACCCAGGCAGGAAGATCTATCTGTATCACATTTTACATGGATGTGAGTCTTATGTTATAGGACTCTCCTGATGAGTTTCCTTGATGTGTCCAATAATCTCTTCCACTGTATACTCGTCCTGATCTATTGCTTCCATCATGGAATAAATGGATGGATAAAACCTATTGTTTTATCCATCATGGCCATGGAGAACAGCTCTTGATTTCTCTTTGTAGATTCCCGCTACCTCTAGAGTTTTGTAGACCTTTCTTTTTCTCTGTTGCTTCACAGAAATTGTTCTCTCCTATTTCTCATTCCAGGGATGTGTCCATGCCTGACTACACCTATTGATATTTCCTCAGTGCACAAATGGAAATCTTACTGGTAGCAAGAGGCCAACTTTTATAGTCCATACATTTAAGAAAACTTGGTAATTAGACACAGGAATCTTTCAAATATGAACTGGAGTGCTCAATTATAATCAGTGTTTCATTTTATTGCTGTTTCCTGTGTTGGTTTCTATACTTGCCTATCAAAACCAGACTACTTTTTGAAGTTATTTGATACAAAAATCAGCCTAAACCATTGAAATCACAGTGCTTGAATGCCTTTGTGAATTCAAGTAGTTGGTAGACTACAGATGGGACTCAGTAGGTGCCTAAAGTTGCAGGTTTTTAACTCTGCCAGTCAATTAAATCCTGTATTTTGTTCCATGTTTTCAACCCCAAAATTTTTACTGCCTTTTAGATTTTAAAATTCAGTTAGGAAGCCAGTGACAGAATCAAGTTTTTTGGTGGTCTCTGAGTAGATGAAATTCTAGCAGTTTTGCAACAAGAAGATTGGAGAAAACAGTTATTATCATGAAATTGCACTTTCTTAAAATAAAAGTTTTAGAAGTTCTTCTTCTAATAAAGAGCTTTGTTTCTTCAGCAATAATATGGTAATTTGGCATAATTGAAAATTGATTTTAAATATTTACTTTTTACACTTTTGTAAATACATTGTTTTCCCTACTCCCTCATTTTTCCTTTTCTTTTTGTTCCAGGACCCTTTGCTGCTTCAGGAGACAGTAAATTCTGCTGCTGCTCTTATCATGGCATTGATAAAGGACAGAAACCCAGAGCTTATTGGCCAGCTGTTGGTAGCATAAGACCATAAATCATGTGTAGCTTTTGGAAATGTTAGTTTTCATCATCTGTTCACCAAAGGTCTTAAGTAATTTTATTCTTTGTTGAAAACTCTGTATTTATGCCATTTATTATTAAGATCATTTAATAGCATATTTTTTATATTTAAAATACAATCTAATATTATGTATAAAGTGTAAAAGGAAATACAAATAATTCTGAGATACACTGGGTATATACTGTGAGGAATGATACTGAAATATTTTTCAAGGTACTGATCATTTTAAAGGTGCACAGAGGACACCAAAGCATTCATGCAAAATGGTCTTTAAGTATGTGTGTGTGTTGTACTCTAGGACTGCATTAATTAAGTTTTATTTCAGATAAATTAATCCTAAAGAACAGCTCATCTACTTTACATGAAATTATTTTAAAATTGCTGCTGTAATACCTCTTAGTGAATGTAGAGTTCCTTACAGAGTGTGGCTTTCCTGCCATAAAGAGAAATGCAAATTGCAGGAAGTATTGGAAAGGTCAGGTGCCTGTTCTCTGTGGAATGAAGGTAACCTCAAATCAGAGAAAAGATACACATGGGTACAAGGAAGTGCTAAGCCCCAGTTTTCCAGATATAGTGAGCTCTGGCTGTAGCCTTCGTGGTGCTGCACTTCTTCCAGGCCCGTGTGCCATCGTTCAGAGCTCCTGTAGCTCCACTGAAATAGGAAGAGTCTGTTACTTCATGCAAAAGAATACAATTCTCATCTCTTGCTGGTTAGCAGAGGTGTGTAGTAAATAGCAGCAAGGAGAGCAAGCATTATGAACTCAAAGATACTCAGCACTGATAGTCAAGTACAGACCATTGGGACAGGAAGATGAAATGGTGAATGGTTTTTATGTGGAGTGTCTCCAGGTATCACAACCACTAAGAGCAATACAAGCAGCGTCCCTGAAAACGTGTCTTTCCCTATGCATCAGACCCAGGATTTTGTCTCTCCTGCAATTTATGAAGGGGCTAGGTTAGTGTCTTACATATTTGATATGAATAAAGTCTTGGAGAAGTATCCCCACTAGAATTGTCCAGTGTGTCCCTGATTCAGTCTATCACTGTCAGTTCAGCAAGTTTCCCTCTATAAACAGCATCCCTCCCCTTACTCCCACCATGTTCCACTCCCTCTGGTGCTCAGACAAAACTTAGGATAACAAGCTCCCTGCTTGGTCCCTTTCCCTTCACATGACTATTTATATCTTTGGTTTAAATCCCTTTTAGAAGCTGATCTTGGTCCCAAACTTCCTTCATTCCAAAATAAAATAAAGAGTTGTCAGCTGATGGTTCTATATCCAAGGCATACATTTTCTTCCACACACAAGTCATGCAAAGATAACTAACAAATTTCTTGTGCATCATCTGCTTTCTTCTTTGCTTCTTTCTTCTCTCTGCTTTGATTAATAATTTGTCCTTTTCTGACATTGTACAACATAAGCATTCATATTAGCTCTGTGTATGACTATACAATAGGCATATTTTATTCATACATATATTCATGTCTGTTCATATGCAGAGCACACAAATAAATGAAGAACTAAAGAATTTATTACTGGTATTCATAATTTAACAGGACAGCTCTCACAAATAAGTTTTCTGAATGTGCTTTTACATTAATAAATTTGATGAAGGAATTTGTCCCACAGGCTTTTAAAAGACATGATGAAAGATGTCTCTTTGACTGTATTTTGTTATTCTTGTTTGCTTGAAGACAAAAATGCAATCTGTGATGTGTTTTCCACAAGTAATAAGAAGGTGAATTTATAAAACCCTTCATGTTTTCTATCCACTCTAATTTATACACCATGTTACTTCATTAACATTGGTTTGTGTGCAACATCATTTGCTTAAACAGAGCTTTTATTTTTTAGGGTTGTTTTATTTACCTCATTCTCCTAAGAGGATTTCAATCCAATTAAAAATGATACCGCAGTGAAGTGCTGTAATAAAAAAAAATATTATGGTTGTTTAGTTGTTTATGGATTTGTTTTTGAAAAGAGAACAGACAATGCACAAGAAAAAGTAAGTTTTGGGTCATCCAATATACTTAGTACTAATCCTAAATGGAAGATAATAAGCTTTATTAATGTACTGTTAATCATTGCATTATGGCTTTTTAATCTTTAGCAATCTTTTAAAATAATCTACAAACACTGAGAAGTCCATTTTGCTGGAGGCAAATACACCAACAACAGAACTACTAGAACAGAACACAAAATACTAAAACTGCAGTAAAAAAAAAAAGAAACTAGGCTGTGATTAATGCTATTGTGTATCCAAACCAAATTTAAATGGTTTTTGGGTGATTGTTAGTACTTACAATGGGAATAAAGATATAAAATGAAATAAGGAAACTGGCTGATTGTTTTTTGTCTGTGCATAGCTTCTCACAAATAGCAGTATACATGAGAAACTTGGCAGCCTTTTGTACACACATGCTGTTTTGAATTTAACTAGTGAATCAGTCACCACCCATATTGCTTTGAACATTTGGACAGAGATAACAGAAAGTAAATAGAAGCTCAGACTCTGCCAGCCTTGCTTACCTTACTCCTTAAGCACTCTAATTAGTATTCCTTGGGTAGTGTTCATCAGAAAAGAGAATGCAAAATGTGGCCCAAGAAATGCTTTTCAAAAATGCAAAGTTGCAAAGTTTTTGCTTTTCAAAAATGCAAAGTTGAGTGAATTAGATTTGTATACTGAAACTAATCCACTTCATGCAAAATCTGAAATCTGTATTACTTTGTCTTCAGTCAGTTAGGTAGAAGATTTTCTATTCAGTCTTTTTTTTTTAGCTTTTCAGACAACCTAGCTTGAAAAAAAAAGGCTTGATGGTCCTCTGAAGAAGAAAGAAATGAAAAGAATAGAAGATGGTGGCATTATTAACAAAAAAACCCCAACACCCCAAAACTATACCAAAAAGCAAAGAGAAAGAAAGTGAGATGTTACCTATTGTAATAAGTGGCATAATAGAGTCAACTTTCATTGAGCTCATCTTAAAAATTAATGTAGGCTGCAGAACAAAAATGTTTTGGATCTCATGGAGCCTTTGGTGTATTCAGATTTGTATTTCTATGTGACATCAAAATATCATCATCCCCACAGTGCCGTTCTATGTGCCATCCAAAGAGAAGCTTCCAAAGACATAAAGTTTCCAATCACTTGGCAATTTCTGAAGATACAGCAACTTCTCCTGTCTGTAGGTCATTCCACCAGAGAAGGGTCACACTTTGGTTGCTCTGTTCTCCCTGCCTCAGACACTTGCCACTCCTCCCTGCTTTTTGTTTGGCTTTTGCTTCTGAAGACGAGCACATTCACTTTGAGACCTGCAAAAGTGTTTCTTTATTTTGTATCTCCTTCCTCTTTACCCATAACATTGATATGAAAAATTGTAGTTCAGCTTATCAACCATCCACCAATGTGCAGACAATCCCTTCATTGCTGTCGAGGGAGGTTTGGGAGTTCGAGAATAAGCTGATGCTAACAGTGTTCCTGTAGGCCAGAGTTTGCAGCAAGATTATTCCTGCCCAACTCAATCCAATTTGCACCTGATTTTGAATAGTCTGTAAAGGCACACAGTTTGATGACTAATGCCCTGCACTGGGTGCCTACAGTGAGATACCAAAGGCAGAGTGAAAATGGGTTCAAATCTTTGTGCCCCAGTGCCTGCACTTTCAGCTTCAGACTGGTAATTTTTTATGACATCTGTCTCCCTCAGCCCATTTCCCAGCCCAATTGTTTACCAGAATTCAGTTTTTCTTGTGCTTCTGGCAAGCACCAAGGAAAAGAAGCAGTCACTGACACTGCATTTTTTCCCAGTGTAGCTTGATTTTGATTGACAGGGCTGTAAAGCACTTGTTAAATATTCATTTTCCTTCATTATTTCTTCCAGGAATACTCAATTAGCTTAGAGATCTAAAAAACACAATTTCAGCACCTATGCTGAGGAAACAGTCCCAACTGTGAAGATACTTTTTGTGATAAAGTTACTTCTCTTGCAAACACAAACCTGGGGAGCAAAGTGGCATTTCCTAATACATTTATTCTAAGGGTAATTAAAGTATGCTTTCAATATTTAGATTGAAATGGATCTTGTCCTTCATCCTGCACCTATTCCTGTCTCAGAAACTAAAATTATAATTCAGTTAAAATGCCACAACACTGAATTATATAACACAGTTACCAAGATAAATGAGAGCGCAAGAGACTTGGACAAGAAAAAAGTGATGTGAATTTAAATAGCATAGAGAAGAAGGAGGCAAGGGAGAATATACCAGAGCTCCACCAGATGGTAAAACCTGTAGGGGAGACCCCTTGAATGGCACAATGGGCTAAGGGCTGCAGGCAGGAATGCTCTCCAGGTTCAGTAGCGCTTCAGATGGCAGCTCAACAAGGCATTTCTCTCTTCAGCAGCCATTTTAGATAACTGTCTCTCTTGAGTCTTTCTTTGTTGTTACTTCTGCATCTCTTTCATGACTCTGCCTCCTTTGTTTTTGTTCCTCACACCAGTCACTTCAAATTTCAAATTTATTTTTCATTTCAGTCATTCCTGTTTTCTCCTGTGCTCTTTTCCTATCCTTTCCCCTACTTCTGTTGCTTATTCTTTCTCTCTGTATTTGTCACTCTTTTTCCATTCCTCCCAGCCCACCATGGTCGAAAGGGACGATCCCCCCCTCCCTTCCCTTGCAAGCCAGGCCGTGGTCTGGCATCAGAAACCCTTCCTCGCTCCTGGATCGAGAACTGAGGCGCTTGGGCTTTGGCACCTCCGCGCCGCTCACAGCTGGGACTGAAAACAGATGTCACTTCCGCTGCCAGCTGTGGGCAGATGAGCAGCAGCTGCCCCAGGGCCAGACCTCCTGCATGGCAGCTGCTGGGCTGACACTGAGAGCTGCCTGTCAGCCCGAGCCAGGCTGCAAGCAGAGCCATCCCACGGAGGGGGGACAATCCGCCCCAAGGCCAGACCCCCCTTCCCCTGCCTCAGTAGCCAAACCGGCGTTTGTAAAGTCAGCGCCTAGTCAAGGAGCCAGATCTGCACATCTATCAGAATGGCAACAGCAACAAAAAGTGAAAGAAAAAAAAGCCAAATCCAGGTATGGCTTACAGTCCTGGTGACTGGAAAAAGTGTGTTTTCACTTAGTAACCAGTGGTTTTGCCAGGAGTTTCTCAGAGACAAAAAGCAAGGAACCCCACGATGCTGTGTGCAGCAGCTCCTTTCCACAGCAGAGACGTGGCCTCACTGAGGCACCACCGAAGTCAGTGGGACTGAAATTTCCTTGCAGTGCACTCAAGAATGCACGGCATCCCCTCCCTCCAGCCATCTTCAGCTAAGTCACACATAAA